GCAATTTATGACTCTTAAATGCCCCTCTACACAGGAAAGCACCACTTAAACTCTTCTCTACAATGAGGACAAGGGATCCACCTTTTGCAAGCAGAAACAATGTTTTGAAATAATAATAATAATCCTTGCATTTGATATTGTGCCTTATCACGTCTTCGAGAAATCTCGAAGTGCTTCACGGAATATACCGTTAAGTGAATTGACTGTATATTTTGTGGGCGAAACATAATAATAATAATCCTTGCATTTGATATAGCGCTTTTCACATCGGGAGGACATCCCAAAGCGCTTCACAGAACACACTGTAAAGTGAATTGACTGTATATTTGTGGGCGAACGCGGCAGCCAATTGCAGTTCAATTCCAGGCAGGGCGAAACCTTGGGCAAGTTTCCTTACTCCACACGCTAATAATAATCCCTCCAAAAACAAAAAAACAATAATAAATTGGTCATTTTCAATCTACGACTGTTTGTGGGACACTGCTGTGCGCAATTGGCTGCCGCGTTTGCCCACAAATATACAGCCAATTCACTTTACAGTATATTCTGTGAAGCGCTTTGAGACGTCTAGAAGACGTGAAAAGCGCTATATCAAATGCAAGGATTATTATTATTATTATTTGCTGCAGTTTTGTTCTCAACACTCTTGGGTAATCTGAACCATTCCCAGAAGAGTGGGACTGGAATGCTGTTAGGCTGGTCCAGCCTGTTCTCAGCAGCAACAAATGCTCCAGACACATCCTGGAGCATTACAATATTATTGCAGTGAACATAATTTGAAAACCTTGTCCTCTATTTTAAGAGGATCATTGGCTGTTACTGTTTGTAAGTCTTATCTGTAAAGCACACTATAGAGTTTGTTGGCAGAGATGTGGGAATGTGGAATGCCTATTTAAAAGGGAGATAATTACTCTGGAAGAATAATAATAATAATAATAATCCTTGCATTTGATATAGTGCTTTTCACGTCTTCTAGACATCTCAAAGCGCTTCACAGAATATGCTATAAAGTGAATTGACTGTATATTTGTGGGCGAAAAGGTATTAAGGGATTTCGAGAAAGGTTGGGGAAATGGGATTAAATGATCTGCCATGATCTTAAAATAGATTGGGGTCCCTGGTTTGTGGACACAATGTCTAGTGCCTACAATGAAAGATAACACAAAAAGATCAAATTACTGTACATTTACAGCAAGATAATCAAGTCTATGCAGAACTGCCAGCCAGGCAATCCAAGAAGTTTCCAAGTTCATTTGGCCTGGGGTTAATCAATTTTCTTGTTAAAAAGTTTCACATGTTCAAGTCTCAGTCACAGAGGTAGTTGGACCTCATTGTCATTGGGGATGGGGAAAGAGAAGGAAGAAATAAGTGAGGATTCCTGTTCCTGCTCATTATCCAAAGATAGGATCAGACTTATGATAGGATAGGATCAGGCTTACGGGGGTAGACACATTGGCATTATGCCCATGGAACTTTACCCCAATTAATTGCTTTTTGGGTAGAACTTGAGAAAAACTAGACAACTTTTTATAAAATACTCACTGTGTGAGTGAAACATGGTTCATGTTAACTAATGTTTAAATACTTTCTGAAATAGTCTTAGCAACAGTAGGGCATTGTGATAGTTGAAGTAGATGGTTTCCCTTTTAGATCTGTTTTGTGAGAAACACATGCTGCATTCCAAACAACAGGCATTTGACTAAGATAAATGACTTCAGCACAAAACTTGGGATCATATTGCATTATCAATCAAGCATTAGGATCGCAGGTGAAATGACAAGCATGCTTAAAACACAAGTGTGGATTCAAAAATGTTCAACCTTACTTTATTTCTTAAGTGAGAGAAGTTCAATGGGACTAATGCTTGCAAAAATGATTATACAAAATGACAGTTCAGCTTGATAATAATCACTTATTAAGCTATTCATAGAACAATTAAACTATTAATCAAACAGTGCTTATCTATGAATTTGCAACATTACTTTATCAATACTTAAATTAAAAAAGGTGTTTTTGTACAGGTACTATGTAATTAATAAATAGTAATCCCTGCATTTGATGTTGCACTTTTCACATTGGGAGGACATCTTCTCAATGCACTTCACAGAATGTATTGTATTTTGTAGGCAAACATGGTGTTTTCCAAAAGTGTTCACACAAAATCAAATGCCCTAGCAAAATGATTGTTCTTCAATCAGATAAAGAGTTTACTTTTTTTTGTGTTTAATAATAATATATTAATAAATAAACCTATAAAACACCCAGGCCTGAAAAATAATCCTGTGGTGGTTTCATTTCACATTTCCCCTTCCTGAAGATGTTGATTGATAAAGTGGTAAAATTCTTCCTGATTTGAGCTCAGGCAGTGAGCACTTGATTTGATTTGTGTTCCTCTGGGGAGAGGACAGTGCACTTTCAAACTTGGTTACCTTTATATTTAATTAAAACTTAGCTACAAAATCAGAAAAGTACCCATTAAGGATGGCATCATTAGAAGTAAAAAGCCTAGCCTGAGGGCAGTACCTGTAGTACAAAGTACTCCCACATTAGATAATTATTTGGAGAGGATAAGTTTGCAGGGCTATGGGGAGAGAGGGGGAGTGGGATTCATTTGGATGGCTCTTTTCAAAGAGCTGGCACAGACACGATGGGCCAAACGGCCTCCTTCTGTGCTGTTATAATTCTGTCCAATTTTAAAAAGTGAGTAGGATGGCTCCTATCCAGCATGCATTATCTCTGTGAAAGTGTTCATCTCTGCTCCAGTAAGCGCCTCCATTGTAGGTCAGTACTGTCAGTACTGCATGCGAAAGCGCTGGCCCGCACATGCCTTAGATGAGCTCCACTGAAGTGATGATGTTGGGGTGATTTATGAACGTGAGACTATGGAGCTAAACAATTGGGTCCTGCTGTGTGGGTACTGCTGTGTAGCTGTGGTACTGAAATTGTGAGGTTCAGGCACCTCTGCATTAAGCTCGCTGCTCGTCCACAGATCCAATTACAAATCAATGACTGGAGCATCTCCACTGAGCCATCACTACTGGATGTAAATGAAAACAGAAATTTTGTTCCACAAACTCACAAAAGCACAAAATGGTAGGCAGGATTTGAAAGCAGAGAGCGGGCGAGGGATGGAAAGATTTTGGGAAAGAGTACTTGTGGAGGGGGACAAGGTGGATGAAAACTCACCTGCTTATGGTTTGGCAGAGTGGGTGGAGGGGACACAAGGCAGGCTGGAGGTGGCAGAGCAGAGTGGCGAGGGGAGTAGGCTTGCAGAAATTACAGAGGTAGGGTAGTACAATGCTACAGAAGCATTTAATTTACTGGGTCAAGAAAGCCAGCACACCATGGCAAACCTGACCAACCACATTCTTACCATTAGTTCTGAACAGACATGAAATGCACCACAACTGCTCTCCTGTCCTCAACATGGGTCAAAGTCATTCCATTCATTATGTTCAAAACAATTGGTAAAAATATCTAGGATACTTTTAACTTCAAAGACTTCTGCCAATATCACAAATACATCTCCAATTGTTTCAATTGCTTCTAAGTTACTCTCTAGACACACAAAGCACACTAATCAGTTTTGGGATGCTAAACGGGTTGATCAGATAAGTGATCAATTGGGAATCTGCAAGTGAACTATGATTCCTCATACAATTAGAGATATTTATCTGATCTCACTGTTGGCCCAGACTTTTCTACTGTATTGAGATCACAGGTTGACGTCTAACCTTTCAAAACAAGTTTCCAAAGGCGAGGATGTCAGTGACAAACTGGTTGTACTTGAAAACCAAGTAGTAGCATCGAAGTATTGATGTCAGCGTGAAGTACAAGACAGCCATGTGCAGAATAAACCTTTTTCACACTAGGCCAAATCTAATTTAGCCTGCAAGTACATTTTGTCTTCAATTTTAAGATACTTGGGGGGGGAGAGCCGTTTAAGAACATAAACTAAATTCTAGAGCATTGCAGCCCATTGTAACCACTAACCAAATAAGTGATTCCACCCAATCACCACAGGCAGTGCAATTGCTGGCCTATAGTAATAACATATGGGCTGCATTTGAATTTGGGCTCATCCTATCAACAACAACAATGAATTACATTTGTCTAGTGGCTTTCATGTCAGGAGGACGTCCCAAAGCGCTTTCCTATCCTTTGCCTGGTCAGCAGCAGATCTCCTCCTACATCCCTGAAGTGGGTTCAAACCTAGATTCCCAGATGTAACAGGAGACACCACCCAGTTCTCTGCTTCCAGGCTGTAATCATGAATCAGCAAGAGCAGTCTTCAAAGAAAGGATATTGTCGATGATTTTTTCCCCCAAAAAATGTGAAAATGGGCAGTGCAAAAATAAAGTTTAAATACATAAAATTGAAATCAGTCAATAGGCTCTTATTGCTTTAAATGTCAAACTTGCTTTCAGAAGGTAAACAATCTGTTCTCCTTCAGTACTGATGGGAGTGTAAAGGGATTGTTCACATCTGCTCGGTGTTTTGCACATTTGTATTTGTGTGCTTATAGATAGCATGGATGCAGTTTTCAAGTATAAATATTGTAAAACATGTTAATAATAATAATAATAATCCTTGCATTTGATATAGCGCTTTTCACGTTGGGAGGATGTCCCAAAGCGCTTCACAGAACACACTGTAAAAGTGAATTGACTGTATATTTGTGGGCGAATGCAGCAGCCAATTGCGCATAGCAATGTCCCACAAACAGTCGTAGATTGAAAATGACCAATTTATTATTGGTTTTGGTTTTGGAGGGATTATTATTAGGCGTGTGGAGTAAGGAAACTTGCCCAAGGTTTCGCCCTGCCTGGAATTGAACTCAGGTCTCTCGCTTGCAAAGCGAGTGCTATAACCACTGAGCTACAGGACTCCATGTTAAAGGTTTCTGTCATGTGCTGGTCCTTTGCCAGCTTTTAGGAAAGAGCCAGACCTGGGGCTTAAAAAGCTTGAAAGGTTCTGAAGAAGGTAGAAAGTCAGCTTACCTTTCCTGTGGAACTGCAAACCAGTACTCATGTTTTTTATCCCTTTGTGCATACTGCTGCATGGAGGCACTTGCGAGGGACACAAAGGTCTTCTTCATGGGCTTGCCAACCCTCAGGCATAAGAATTTGTGAGATCTGTGCCGCCTCTTCTCTTTTGTTGTAACATTCGCTGTGATTTAAAAGAAAAGCAGAAGATAAAATTGTGTTCAATATTGGAGATGGGATTTTATACTTTGATGTACTGGCCCACCAAAGATGCAGATTGACATATAAACCATAGAAAGCACATTTCACTTGGTTATCCAAAGTGATTGAAAAGATTTCACATGCATGAGCCTGTTAACACAGGCTTAACAACATCAGCTTGCTCCCTGGTAACTGTGCTGTTCTCAAAAGCTCAGGCTATGATAGGGTTGCCTCAAATGGGCTCTATATCCCCCCAAATCATAGAGATAAGGACGAGGGTTGCAAATGAGCAGAGTACCATTGTACAAAAGAGGTTTAAAAAAAAGGACATTGAGGGAGCGAAGAGTGAATGGCAAAGAAACATAGGCAGAAACATGCCAAAAATACCTTCCAGTATAATAACACTAAATGCTAATCAGGGAGGAAGTTAAAACCCTAAGGGATCCAAATGCAGTTGAAAAGACAAATAGGAGATTCAAGATTAGTTATTTGTGAATCACACAAATTAGATCTTACGTGATCTGGGAACGATTTGAGCTGTTGTCTCGTTGCCAAGGCCATACAGTAAGTGAAAGGGCCTTGTTAAATGGAGCTATTGGTCCCCTACTGCTCCCCTCCTTTGCCTGAAGGTAATAGTAGCCTCAACCTACAACCCCTGCCACATGGCATTAACTCCTTTTGTGGAGAATGACAGACTTAGACCCGTATCTCATCACTGTGTGGTGCAGTAATTCAATGAAATGATTTCTAGTCTCAAACCGCAGAAAAGTAATAGGAAGATTAGATGCTGCTGGTCTTGTCCTCACCCAATAAATTCTGCAAATTAAAATGGAATATAAAAGCCCAATTTTGATTATTTTAATTTTACCTAATTCAACTCAGTGGTATGCTTTTATCTAAAACATTTTTATCCAATTTAACTAACACAGGCAGGCTCACTCCATAGCAAAGCAGACATAAGCATTCCCTCCCTTATAAGTACAAGTATTGAGGCTATTTAATAGCCCAAGATACTCATTTCTTTCGCAGTTCAGGCAAAGCAAGCACTTCCATTCACTCAATCTTCTGAAGTTAGAAATAATTCATTGAAAACGCCAGAATACTTGCGGATTTCCAATATTCAAACCTGGCCTTGTTTCCTCCACAAGTAACATTAACCTTCTCCCCAACAGCTTTGGATTCTTTTTGAGTATTTCTGCATTCACCCTGCATCGACCTTCGACACAGTCTATCATGCCATCCACCTCCACTCCTTCCTCATCCACCTTAGTGAGACCGCATTCTCCTGGTTCGAGTCCTACTTAACCAGCTTCCATCACCAACTCCGCAAACAATTTTTCTTTTTACCTCCACCAGGTCACCTGTGGTGTAGCCCAAGGTGCCATCCTTGGCCCCCTTCTTTTCCTCATTTACATGCTCCCTTTCAATAATACACGGGGTCAACATGTATGCGAATGACACCCAAATCTACATATGAAGGGCACTATATAAATGCAAGTTGCTGTTGTGTTGTACCCCCTTATCTCCAACACTACTATGAAATTTCTGAAAGCAATGTTAAGACTTCTTTCTTAGGATCTTGGCCTCTGGCTATTGATACCATCTTTTTGATGTCTTTTTGTGTCCACATAGAATGATTTGGCATAGAAACAGGCCATTTGGCTCAACTAGTCTGTGCTGGTGTTTATACTCCACACGGGCCTCAAGCCGCTATCTGTTTACTAAAAAGCCTGCATCCGCCAAACAACGATTAAAGTACACGCTAAACCTTTCCTAGTGATACAGTGCAGGGATTATGCACTGTGTTCCCTGACAGTCTGGGAGAATCCATATCCCAGTTGCCTGTAATCAGGATCAGGCATTTTGTAACTGTCAATAGTGATGGGATCTGAAAGAAACAGGTAGACAAGCTCACTACAAATTAGCTTATTTTAGACTCAGTGAAGACATTCTTCCACAGAGGGCTGCTCATTAATAACATGTGATCTGTAGAGTCAGTAATAAATTCTGACATTTCTCTTTTTTGGACAGGAATTGCAGAGCAGGTTAATGCACTTACAGAACACATCACAGTACCGAGGCTAATTTGTTGTAGTGTGTTGGAACTGTGGAAGCTTCACTCTTTCACTGTACATTAGTGTGTACAGGAGCTACTTTCTAAACAGTGGCACAGTGTCATAGATGACCTGTGATAAAATAAATCAATAGTTCCTAGACTGAAGGGCAGTGGCCTCCGGTACTAAACTAGTGGTTGATTTTCTTATTGGGGAAGGAAAATGCAATGTGGTGTAATCATGACTATACATTCATTCCCCCCTTTCTTCCCATAACCACAGATTTTAATAACAATGAAGCATTAAGTCACATACAGTATTTTTATTATTAGCTGCTACACAGTCTTCATATTATAATAACCAAATAAATCAATGCTGGAACTTCTCTTTAAGTCTTTTGACTTCACTTTTCCTGCATGGTTTCCTCAGACAAATAAGATAATGTCTCAGGATGCTTTAAAATTATGGGATTGAACGTCAAGCAAGGGAGAAGGGAGATGGAGGAAAGGAGCAGTGACCATAGGTAAGGTCAAAGATTTACAGATAGATAGAGAGGTTTAATTAACTTTTTTCTTCCCTTTGCCCTGTAAAATGGAGCAAATGGCCCATCCCCAGTCCTCTGCCAATGCTTCCCTGGAAAACCAACACAACCACTGCAGAAAACAGTACTATAAATATGTCTTCTCAAGACATACCTCTTTGACCATGTTTTTGGTTATCTTTTCCCTCCCAGCCTCCTTGGCTCCCACCCTCAGTTCAGGTGCCCATCTACATTGAAGTGCTTTGAGACATGAAAGGTGCATTATAAATGTAAATTGTATTGTAAATGGTATAATACTCGTTACAGCATGAGGATAAGTGAATAAAATGAGAGATGCAATTAAAGGAATTATAATCCATCTGCGTAAATCAATCCTCAAAACCCACTCAGAGCGGTACTTCATCATACGCTAATCAAAGCTGTTTGGCAGATTATATTATGACTGTCAACATTGAAACCAGTGAGTGGCTGCTCTTTTCTGTAATAGTAGAAAGGTGAGTTCATTCTTCATTACAAATAAGGAAATAAAATACAGGGTTCCTACAAACTGGAGAATGCATCCCCATTGCGTGTTGATCCTTACCAGACACACTGGAGCAGCGTGCCCGAGGACTGGTCTGCTATAAATTGGCTACTACTGGCAGGAGTAGTTAAGTATCTTCCTACGATATTTAATGGTGTCAGCCTGGTTCAGTTCATAGCACAACACAACTCTAACTCAAAAGTTGTGGGTTCAAACCCAGATTTGTCTTGAAACTCATATAATCTCAATTTATGCTCCAATACAATGCTCAGGGTGTGCTGGATCATAGGAGGTGTCATCCTTCAGATTAGATGTTAAACTGAGACCCAACTACTACTAATAATAATCTTTGTATTTGGTTTATGTTTGCATTCAATAGGTTGGTGCAATTTAAGGTCCACAACCTCTTCCAAATTATCCAGTGCTCAATGTTCTTGCTTCCCATCCACAGTAACAGCATGAATCTGTTAGCCAGTTTCATCCACGTAAAAATTAACAAATCTACTTTGCTTATGGATCATTCTGAAAACTATGGTATGCTTTAGTCCCCATCTTTGGAGAAGGGAATTGAAGGGTCATATACCCTTCAAGGAGTGGATGGAGACTTGTGTAGACTATAAACACCATTGCGGACTGGTTGGGTCAAATGGCCTATAAATTCTTTGTAAATCTTTGCACCTTTCAGAGTAATCCCACTATCAATTTACTCTATTGCTTTACAGTGTGGTGATACTTATCACAATTCAACCCTTTGAAGAAGCTTCTGTGCTACTGTACACACTTTGTATAATGCAAGTCTGATTTTGTCAACTAAGAGATGAAATGCTTCCTTCCCTTCCCCTTCTCTTTGACCGTGCCTTCAGCTCCCCTCTCGACTCTCTTCCTCCTCCTCGCTCCCTCCCTTCCCTCCCCTCACCCTGACCATTTCCCCCCTCCTCTCTCCCTCCCTTCCCTCCCCTCACCCTGACCATTTCCCCCCTGCTCGGGTCATGACCCAACTGTGCAGCGCCTTGGGACGTCCTCCTGACGTGAAAGGCGCTCTATAAATGGAATCTTGTTGTTGTTGTTGTTCATTTGTTTATCTCAAAATGTACATCTTTGAAAATGCTTTCACCATCTTTCCTCTCCCCACCTCCCTCCGTCTCAGTGCCCATCTAGCACTGTGAAACGCTTATAAAACGTCCTCCAAACGTGAAAGTTGCCATATAAATGTAAATTCTATCTTATCTCTACAGGGGATGGCAGTGTGAGATCTCTGTTAGGCACCATCCAATGACACGGTTGAGAAAATAATTCCTCATATTCGAGAGCGTGCGGTGGAACTCACATTCAGCCCACTCTGTGGCACAAGATGCCGATATCCCAATCTGCAATTCCAAATGGCAATACCTCAACAGAAAGTTTAATGGTGGTCACTATACCTTCTAAAGGACCTTCAGGAACTTTTCCAGTTTTGGGGTTTACTTCGTTGTTGGCGACCTGCTGCATTGTTTCCCTTTGTTCCTTGGTCTGTTGCATAGTGTGGCTCTTCCACAGCTTTCGGAGCTCTTCAACATCCATCTCAGAATCCCGCAGGTGTTCTTTCCCCATTTTCTTGGTCTGATCGATGTTCTCTTTCTCACTCAGGCCTGAGGATTCTGCGGCAGATGAGCCCTGACTTGCACTGTGTGGTAAGTTCAACTCCTGAGCTTCAGAAACTTTTTGTTCAATAACCAAGCCACCATGAAGTGTGGAACACTTATCTTCACCTCCCTGACTTGCACTACTATAAAGATTTTCATCATGTTCATTCTTGTTTTGGGGCATTTCAACAGGTTTACTCCCTTGTCCTTTCACTTCAGCTAACTGAGACTTCTCAGGTTCATGACCTGTAGAGAGACTGTCAGGAGCCAATTGCTTTTCAACTCTGACTTGTCCAGCCACATCTGATTCCAGAGCAGACAAGGGATCCTGACTGCTCTCTGCAGCAGACTGGTTTATTGTCTGCACAGACTCCGAGGAGTCGCCTGATGATTTTTCGCGTCGAAGTTCGTCAGATGAAACATGTTCCTCATGGATAGGGGAGAGTTCCGATTCGGTGAAGACATCTTCAGACAAGGACTCCTCTGTGCTGCGGGGAGCTGTACTGGTGCTATCATTCCCTGTATCTCTTAGTTTAGAGTCTGTTTCGTCTGTATTGCTTCTTGTTCTTTTGTTTGATTGGGATGTATCCTTGGTGGAGGCAGAGTATTCCAGATCACTGATCGAAAGAAGGGAAAACAGTGGTCAAAATATATTCAGAGAGCAATCATGAATGTGCTACAAAACATAATTATTATGGGATGAAAATTGTGCTAATTAACCCATCATTCAAAATCAATACTTAATGCAGATTTTCCCTGATGTGTTGATTACTATATCACACATTGCAATTTCATAATAATCCTTGCATTTTCCATTCGCTTTAGCACCTTTCATGTCACCACATCCCAAAGCCCTTCACAAAATATACAGTAAAGTGCAGTGGAATGTGTACCTTTGGGCAAATGCAGCAGGCAAGTTGCATATAGCAATGTCCCACAAACATCCATGGCGTGATTGACCTATATTATCTGGGGTAGCGCTGGCCAGGACACTGGGTGAAACTCCCTTCTCTTTTTGAATAGTGCTGTGAGATCTTTTAATATTCACCTAAACAAGCAGATACGTCAGGACATCAAAATATCTCTCAATCCCAAAATTATCCGTATTTGAAAATACCTATATGTTATATCGCATATTCTCATAATTTCCTCAAATCTGGTGACACACTTTATAAAAATAAAATTACAGGAAAGGACAAAATTATTATTATTTATTATTGTTATTTAAAAACAAATTTAACTGGTTAAAATCTAACTCAATTATACTGGTGACTGCCCTAGCCATTTCTTCTGCTAAGCTAGGCAGGCTGAGGCTGAAGAGAGTGGCAGAGCTAGGAATTAAAAAGGGATTACCATGCAGTGCAGGGTGGAGCTCTGAGGCTCAAGAGACGTGATTAGGTGCTACATCAAATGCAAGGATTATTATTATTAAGCAAACACTAGCCTGCTTCACGTCCCCCCTTTTATTCATTCTTCTGTAGTTGAGCCTTTGATGACTCTATCCCCAATTTCTGAAACTCTATCCTTGAGTCATTATGCCTTCCCTCTCCCTCACCACTTTAAAAATGTGCCTTAAAACTCATCTCTACAACTGTGCTTTCTGCCATATTTCCCCTTAGCTACCCTCCTTCCCCCACACAGTTCAGGTTCCCAGTCAGTTATACAAAGCCCTTTGAGATGTCTTCCCAACTAGAAAGGCGCTATGTAAATGTGAATTGTTGTTTTGAAATCGAGTTGCAATCTTGCTAAATAGAGCAGTATAAGGAATGGCAGACACTTTATCGAGCAATAACTCAAGGCTGAAAACCCAATATGTCAGCTTCATATAACCTGAAAAGGATGTTCAGAAGTCTCCATGGCAGAATGTGGAAATGAACAATGATTAAATGAATTAGCAATTACTAAAGCTGGGAGAACTCCCTGTACAGAGAAGCCATCAGTAACAATAGCAACCTTTTCTGCAAAGTTGCTAAGTGTAGGGAATCTTACAATGTGTGTTAACAAGAGAATTTCTGATTATAAGTGCACTTCAAAAGTACCCTCTCCCCTAGGAATGTTGGATCCCGTTACTTAAAATAAAAATTCAATGATAGAATCTGACAGACATTTTAGATTCAGATGAAACAAAGGCCTTTCTTAATCAAACAAAGAGAGAAACAAATTGCAAATATTGGAAATGCTGGAAATCTACAGCAGGTCAATCAGTATCTGAAAGAAGAAAAATAGGTTAATATTTTGGTGCGACACTTATTGAACTATGATAATGGACTGGGAGACACCTATGTAGGATAGACAACAAGAAAGAAAAAAAGGACAAGGAAGAAGTTAGAAGCGTTCGGGTTCTAAAGGGGTAAGTGCAATGTTGATAATGATGTTTTCCAAAAAAACCAAGTCAGACAGCAGAAAGAAGCTGTGATAATAATTGTTGCATATGATACAGAAAGCCCAAATCGTCTCATAAAGAGATTCACAAGAAATTGTTGTCAAGTTGCAATAACTATTGTTATAGGCAAATGTACCAATTTACACATACTGAGATCCTAACAAACAGCCCAGAAATAATTGACCAATTTATCTGATTGTTGGCCAGGACACAAGGAGAAACTCCCTTCTCTTTTCAAATAGCATCACTGGTTCTTCAATGTTCCCTTGAATAGATGGGAACTCTAGTTGTTGATCAGACTTGTAGCCTGAAGTTCATAAGTAAAATATAAGGCAATCCATCTGAATTTTGCAAGGGCTTGGGTTGGTACAATGTGGGAGGACAATGATAGATCAGAGTAAAAGGAGGAAGTGGGCTTAAAATGACAGCCCATAGAGGGGTAGGAATGGGGTTACGTGAACTAAAGACGAAAGTGGCAAATATAAGAATACAAACTCCAGGAAGTTAACACCACAAAACAAACATGCCCTTTTAATTATATACGCCCCTGGCCTCACATACTGATACGATGTGGTGCACTACAGGTGATGCTGAGTGTTACAGTACAGAATATTTAGTAGATAATAAACAACGTTGGATCTTACGGAGGTAAAGATTCTTTGATTTTACTGTCCTGAATATCTCTGTACAGAGCGGCTGAAACGACCTCGTCCATTGGACACATGATGCCGTACTCCTCGCAGCCATTCTCCTGCACTAAAGGGTCATTCTTGTGGGGGTCGAACATGATGTTGTTTGGGGTTATCAGGAGCACACCACTGACTGCTCCCTGCAATAAAAAGAGAAAGTGTCAACACACACGCTCCACTGAAAGCTCATACTGCATTCGACTAAGAGAAATTCTTTTTATGCCTTCTTTTCCAATAATGCTCCTTCCCGTCTGTCTGTACTTCACACACCTCTTTCAAGCAGTGTATAGGCAATACGTCACCTAAACTGTTCAGCTGGGAAATGCTGGGCTGTATACAGAGACAATCAGTGAAAGCAACACACTGACTATGTTTACTTATATTTATTTTTATATGTTTATTTTTTAGTCACTAAAAAAATTCTTGCATTTGATACAGTGACTTATCCCATCAAAACATTTCAAAGCCCTTCACTCAACGAGGTACTTTGAAGTGTAGTGACTGTAAGCAGCTAGTCTGTAGCAGCAATGTTCCAAAGACATCAATGAGATAAATATCTAATGAATCGATTTAGTGAATTTTGATGAGGGAAGAATATGGCTGGGACTCCAGCCGAGCTTCTTGTTCTTCTTTGAAATAGTGCGATGTAATCTTTAACAGCCAGCTCAATCCTTAGCACAAACAGGTAGGTCCTTAGCTTTCTATGTCTCTTCTGAGGATGGCATCTCTGACAAGCTGTATCCCTTCAGTACTGCAATGAAGTGCCAACCCAAATTATGTGCTCAAAGATTTTTTTTTGAAATATGGGAAAATTTAATTCAAAATGTTCAACTGGGCAAAATGTTGCACACTGTCAATGTAGAATCTTTCTGAATAAAGGCTACTGCGACACTCTATTGTGTGAAATGTACCACAAATGGTTGGCAAATGTTAAACAAAGAAGAAAAAAATCTGTTTGATCAACACTCAGGAATTCTCTCCATTAGCGGGATCTAACTCGTCAAGGCTGCTTCCGCCAGCTGCCTGCTGGGGGCATGGATATTAATGATGTTTAATGGCAACAGAAATGTCACAGCCTGGGAGGAATACACCTTTTTCCATACACGAAATAACACAAAGGCAATAGAACAAGAAAAATCTCAACCCAAAGCCGGATAACGCAGCGGGTTCCGGCTGCTAATCAATCTCTTGGGAACCTTTCAAAGTCTGACCTTTCAGTAAAGTTCAAAAATGACATGTTCCAATTTCACCCATATTAAAAAGGAAAGGATAGGAGAAACTATTTTTCATCTGCAAGGAAAAATATAATAATAATCCTTGAGTTGTTATGGTGCCTTATCTAGTCATCATAATGCTTCAAAGCACTTCACAGGATTTAATGAAAAGTGCAACTGCATTTTGTAGGCAAATGCCAAGGCAAATTTACACACAGCATTGTCTAACAAAACAGCCACAAAGTGAATGATCACTTTTTTCCTCTCTGGGGGAATTGCTGGCCAGGACAGCGGAAGAGACTCTGTTCTTTGAGGGAGCCTACAAATTGGTAGTTTCTACTCAACCATCAAAAGACTGTATTGTAAGGAGTCTTAAACAACAACAACAACAAATTGCATTTATATAGCGCCTTTCACATTGGGAGACCTTCCTAAGTCACTGGACAATTTAGGGTTTGCACCCAAGCATGGGTTGGGTTCGGGAGGGTGGTGGTTATGGGGGCGTGGCAGTGGGAAGATTACTCAAAGTCCAGTCGAAGGAGAAGGTCTGGAGACAGACCTTGAAGGAGACAAGAGAAGGGTTGAAGCGAACAGACTCTGGGATGGAATTCAGAGAGTTGGAGTAGAAAGGCTGAAAGCTTGACCAAGTGAGCAGGATGGGGGAACGTGAAGCAAGCTAGTGCCTGCCTAGCGGAGGGAGGGAGCCAGTGGAGTCGGGCAAGGATGGGGGTTGGTAGGTTTGCAGAGCATTGTGTGAGAGCGAGGACACGAGTTGCAGAGTTCTGAATGATCTGCAGCTTGTGGAGGGAAGAATTGACAAGTGGTGGATTAGCATAGTCAAGCCTGGATATGATAAAAGCATGGTCAAGGGTCTCGGTGGCCCAAGGGAAGAGGTTGTTGGGGGATACGGGCAATGTTGAGGAGGTGGGAGAAAGTTGAACTAGTCAACTGAATTTGGAGTTCAAAGGACAGTTGCGAGTCGAACAAGACACCAAGGATTTGCTCTGATTTTATGAGGTAGAGTGTGCATCCATGTGGATATCAGTGTCTAAAATGAAAAAGCATTGATGGGAGCCAAGCAGGAGGGCATCTGTCTTGTTGACACCCAACTGGAGAAAGTTTGTTCTCATCCAGGACTTGATGTCCAATTGGCAATCAGTCAGATCAGCAGTGTTCCTGGAATTAAGGTTGGAGGCAGAGATAGAGTTGAGAAAGGAAAGGGAAAGTTGCCAATGTATATATAAACATAGAGATATATGATCAAGTTGGTTGTTACAAACATGTGAAGTGTTTTAATAAAACAAAGATAGAAATGTATTTTTAAGCACTTTACACTGCAGAGGATGCAGGGGTGAAGATTGAAACCAGTAATTTGTTAGTTAATACATCAGTGAAAAAAGCAACCAGTCAATGTGTTACGCAATGGCAAACTTGCAGTGCTACACTTGTGTGAAAACATTTGATTTCCACGGGCATTCCTCACAACCACTATTAACAGTAATACAGTATTAGGCTGGGGTTTATTTAAAGGTCAGAAGACTAGAGTAAAACTGGGAAAAGAGTTTGACCTCAATAAGAGGAATCACTGATCTCTGTTGCCGAGGAGGTGACAAGATGAAGCCAAGGAGCTCCTGTGCACCTTGAAGCAGACACTGGGGATGGCCCATCACCTAAGGCCTTGGAGCAGGTTTTCCTCTCTCTCAAGATTTGATATTCAGCTCAGTGAGACCCTCGAAAAGGAAACCCATCAAAGAAATAATTGCATTAAAAATACCTAAACATTATATAATAAAAACTCTCTTAAAGAGTCACATTTGTAATGAACTACCAGTAGAAACTTATCCAGAAATACTAGTCATAGTAATGATAATCCTAACATTTGGCCTAGTGCGTTTCATGTTTGGAGGAGACCCAAAGAGTGTAACAGGATACACTGCAAAGTGGAGTGACTGTGTATTTTGTGGGCGAATGCAGCAGACTATTTTGCACACAGCAAAGTCCCACAAACAGCCAAGTGAATTACCAATTTTATTTCAGTGATTGTTGATCAGAACTCCTTTCTCGATTCAAATAGTGCCATGGGAACTTTAACGTCTTTCTGAATAGGAAGACGGGTCCTCGGTTTAAAGTCTCATCTGGAGGACAGCACTTCCAACAATGCAACACTCCCCCAGCACTACAATGGGCCGTCGGTCTAGACTATGTGAGTTCAAAATCCTGAGGTGGATCTCAAGCCCACAGCCTTCTAACCCAGAGGCGCGAGTGTCTACCACTGAACCAAGCTGACAGATAGAGTCAAAGAAGCATATGTTCAAGGAAAAGATGCAAGGAGCAAGCATGGACAAATATGCTATGGAATGTGAGGATTCTCATGTTGCTTGGGAACACAGATGACGTACCTGTAGAATAAAGCTGACTAGAACAAATGCAAATTGTTAGGATTTATGTTCTGGATTTTGGCTCCATTGTCCTGTAGGTTGAATTTGTGGTTGGTTTCCATTCTTAGCTGGAGAGGATTAGGATAGTCCACAATGGAGAGAAATTGAGAGAATGGGCTGAATGGGTTAAAATGGCCTTTTCTCGGCCCATACCCTCTTCTGTTCATGAAGTCACGGCTGAGATTGTGAGCAATAGTGGGTCGGGATTTGTGAGACAGATGGTGCAAAAAGCTCCAGCCAAACACAGTCAATCTCCCATTACATAATCCAAACAAATGTGGTTTGGAACACCCGGGGAACCAACATCCAACATGACTTTGAATCCCAACTTAGCTCTTAGCTGTATGAATATCAGAATTTGATTTGACTTGCAAAACTCTTTTTTGTTGATTTTCACTACACAGATACAATCTGATTATAACCCGATTGTTCGGGCTTGCCCACGCAAGAAGCTGGGTCAGTGGTGACCTTTCTCGAGAATGCTCCCTGTGATTGCTAGGATGCTGCTCTTCCTGGGAAGCACTCTGTACCTGCAAGCTAATGGATAGGAAGCTGGTCAGTAAATACTAGAAGCAGACAGCTTTTTGAATATACTATATGTGAGTCCATGGTGCAGCTGTATTATAAATGGGCTTGTGCCATACTGAAGCAGGGACAGTGTTAGGACAGTATAAGCCATGCAATAGCACTATGTCCCCCAAGCAAATCAGAGGCCCCAAGCAGTAATAATTATACATGATTCTACTGGAGGTAAATCAGAACTTTTGCACAGGGTGCCACCCAAGGCAAGCATCACTCCTATAATGAAGGATGGGTGCAATGGGGTCTGACTGTACATTGTTCCATCTGTGTGTGTGTGTGTTTTCATAGGGGAAAGAGGTTGAAACATGCCAAACAAAGCCAGTTCAGTTTCCTAACCAAAGCCATGGACATGCCAGTTCTATCTCTATAAGGTGTGCAAACATCAGGGTTTATCTACCAATGCTTATACTCCTTATGTGAAATTAGAATCAGCGTTCCTGCATCATAGCTCAGGAAGCCAAACTGCACTTGTATTTTTTTGAAATATGAACACCAGTACCAACTAGCTGCGCTGGGTACTGTTTAGGTACTGATTTTGGTGCTGTATACTGTATGTAGGGAATTCTATTTATGTAATGTTATGTAAAGCTGTGCTATGAAATTCCCACTGACTTCCTCATCAAGTGGTTCCCGGAGCATTTCTGTGGCTTTTGAAGTGGCAGTATAGAGTTCAATCCTACAACATATAAAATCATACATGTTAGCCTGTCTGTAAAGAGTAGACAGCAGTAGAAGTGCTATAATTGGCCTCAGCAAACATGGGTCTATTAGAGAGAACTTAAAAATGATCAGGTTCCCATTCTGACATCTTCAGCAGAGCGGGCATTTGGTCAGTTGAGTGAGGACATAATCAGGCTAGGCTGTGTTGCCCTCCCTCTCATTCCCCCTCCTCCAAAAAAAANTACAGACTGCCACGTCTCGTTTTGAAATAATGGTGTGAAGGACAACAGAGCAATTAGTGCCCATTGCTCATTAGAAGGAAAAATGAGTCAAATGATTTTCGGAGAGTGGGAGAGAAAATTAGAGAAAGATTCACTAGAAACAAAGAAACAAGCTGGAGTTTTTTTTAAATATATAAAGAAAATACTTAGCATTTTCCTACATTTTATAAAGCTCGTCATTTCAATTTAACTTTGACCAGCGAGAACGAGAGTGACAAAGCCAACTGTTACCTTGCCGTCAGTAATATATCTGCACACGATCTTGAGGAATTTCTCAGTGAAGGCTTCCTCTTCCTCGGAGGTGGATGACACCACTCTTGCGGGCCGGGTGCTGGCGAGTGCCGGAGCGGAGGTGGACTCTTTGTGGTGACCTCCTTCCAGGTCCTGAAATCACAAAGGTTTCATTCATTGGCGTCTGGTCGCTGGAGTAACACAGAATGTAAGTAATCCCTGGGAGTAATGTAAGAAGTGGTGTCGTCATCCAACTTAATTAACTTACATTATGAGGAGGGAACCCCACATAAAGAAATCCCCTTTGTGTGTCCTCTTCCACTGGGTTTACATGGTGAGTCCATTGACAACAGCACACCTGCTGTTGTGGACTGACTCACAGTGAAACAGAGATGGTTGAACTTGCTGATATTTCTTTCTTTTAAAATTTAGTGTGTCCAATTATTTTTCTACTTTCCCCCCAGTGGCATATGCTTCCCTGTTTCTGGTCTGCTCTTCTCTTGGGGGGAACTGATTGCCCTCAGACCCGCCCAAGTGGCCTATGTTCATGTGTGAGCCTCGGCAGTGAGTCGGCAGCCACTTGACTATAGAGGACACAACCAAACCTGACCTCTCCCTATCCATCTGCCTGAACCCACAAAACCAATAGAGGGTGCTAAAGAAATCAAGAGCAGGGTCCAAGGTTGGTTTTCCCCTCCCTAACCCTGGGATGGCTGGGACCAATTTATTATCCCCATTTACCAGCCCCAGCTGAGATCAGCAAACTCAGCACAGACCTGTGGCTACAAATATACAGTCACTACACTTTACAGTAAAACCTCATGAAATGCTTTGAAACATTTCAACATGTTGCATCAGGTACAAGGATTGTTACTATTGTGCTTTACTAACTGATACTGGAATTATTGGGAGTGGTTTTGACTGAATCAGCATCACTGACCGAATAGCAGTTTTCTGAATGCATCACTGATTGGAACCAGTGAGCTACTTGGCTGTAAACTGCAGTTCAATCCACTACCATTTTTTTTAACCGCTGCCCACTGACATTTTTACTGACAGTTGCCTCCTGCGTTGCCACTAGTTATTGCCATTAATCCTGGAGGCTGAACAGTCAGAAATGGGTGACTTTTGTTCCTCGCATTTATATTTCTTTTTCATATTGATGCTAAAACAATAGCAGAACCGAGAAAAAGGTTGCCGGATATTCAAATGCCTCTCCCTGCCTCGGGTGCTAGCATTTTAGTTTTGAAATAAAAACTTGCATTAGAGCTGGAGACACAGCTCTATCAAACACCTCAGCTACATCTTTAATGGCCTTCAATCCTTCTGAGCGTACAGAAAATCAGGAACACACACATCAACAGAAAACATTTTTTTTCCTTTATGCATTACAGGAAGCACAGCACAAAAGGTGGCTCAAAATCTGTCATACTGGTTATATCCTTAATCTAATCTATGCAGCACAAGCCATACACCAATTAGATGGTCATTTTAGTAAGAGAATAGAATGCTTTATGCTCGCTAACAACATAATCTAATAAAAATGATCAGCAGGCATTGAAAAATAATGCTACATAAACATCATTGCCACAGCGTATCCATGACATGCTGTAAATAAACAAGAAACTACTGGAACGTAACTAAAATAAATCAATTTCAGTTAGATAATGACGCTGTTAAGATGGGAGAAAAAACTCTTCACGACAGTAAGTGTGAGACATGGTGAATGGACAGGCAGACCACCCTCAAGAAAAAAAACAAAATAATCATAAATTGGTCACTTCTCTTTTCAAATAGTGGCATGGGATCTTTAAAGAATACCTGAACTGGAAGACAGGATCATGGTTAAACGTCACATATAACAGATGATAATAATAATAATCCTTGCATTTGATATAGCGCTTTTCACGTCGGGAGGACGTCCCAAAGCGCTTCACAGAACACACTGTAAAGTGAATTGACTGTATATTTGTGGCAATTCCAACAATTCAGCACCCCCTCCCCCCAACACGCACTGGAGTGTCAGCCCAGACCAACTTTGACATGCGAATTCAAAGTTGGTCAGGCCACAGTTTGAATATTGTGTGCAGTTTCTGGCTCCTCGTGATGTAAAATATATGTACAGATATAAAAGCGCTGAAGGCGAGGCAGCGAAGATTCACGAGGTTGATAGAAACTTCACTCCTCCTGAGCAAACAAGCATAGGAATAAACAGAACAACAAAAAGCACATTTTTTCCTTCATGCATTCCACAGTTATGGTCTCACTGAAGAGCCAGGTGCGGGCCACTGAACGCACCTGCCTCAAATCTGGCCTAACAGTCCACCGGCAAATCTGGCTGGACCTCCTCAAAATCTACCGCTCCACTCTAGCCTCGGCCATGTCGTCCTTCTACTCCAGGATAATCCTGGAGACGAAGCTTCTGTTCTCCACCACATCCCGACTCCTCCGTCCCCCCCGCCACCTGCGCAGGTCATCTCCTCCAACCTTCACTGCGAGGAGATGCTGGATTTCCTTGAATCCAAAATCAAGGGAATCCGCTCCGCGGTCACTGCCCCTCCAACTTCCACCCACCCCCCACCCCTTCCCTCCCACACTCCGACTCCTACCCATCCTCCCCTACACACCTTCGAACCCGTTTCCCCACCCTCTGTCACCAAACTCATCCTGTTATTGAAACCCACCACCTGCTCCCTGGACCCCATCCCCACTCCACTCCTTATCTCTCAGCTCCACCTCCTTGCCCCACTTCTCACAGACACTATTAACCTGTCCCTCTCCTCTGACTCTGTTCCCATTCCCCTTAAAACTGCCACCATCACTCCCACATTGAAAAAACCCTCCCTTGATGCGTCGCAGCTATCAAGCTACCGGCCCATCTCCAACCTCCCCTTCCTGTCCAAGGTCCTTGAAAGAGTTGTCGCCTCCCAACTGCGCTCTTTCCTCTCCACCCACTCACTTTTCGAACCCCTCCAGTCGGGTTTCCGTGCTGCCCATAGCACAGAAACTGCCCTGGTCAAGGTCACCAATGACATCCTGACCATCTGTGACCAGGGCTCCCTCTGCCTCCTCGTCCTCCTCGACCTATCGGCAGCATTCGATACGGTCGACCACGCTATCCTCCTCCACCGCTTGTCCTCCCACCTCAACCTTCAAGGCCCTGTCCTTGAGTGGTTTAGGTCGTACCTCTCCCACCGTCTTCATTTTGTCTCTGCAAACGGCTTTTCCTCCACCCCCCGCACTGTCTCGTGCGGTGTCCCTCAGGGCTCTGTCCTCGGTCCCCTCCTCTTCACCCTCTATATGCTCCCCCTTGGTGACATCATCCGCAGACATGGGGTTAACTTCCACATGTATGCGGATGACACCCAACTCTACCTTTCCTCCTCTACCCTCAACTCCACGACCACCGATGTCCTGACAGCTGCCTGTCCGACATCGAGTCCTGGACGAGAGACAACTTTCTTCAGCTCAACGTGCGCAAAACTGAGGCCCTCCTGATTGGCTCACGTCAGCGCCTCCGCACCTCAGGCGCTGACACCATCAGCATCCAAGGCTGCACTCTCCACCTCTCAAAGCCAGTCAGGAACCTCGGGTTCTGTTCGACCCTGAGCTGTCCTTTCTTCCCCATATCCGCGCCACAACTGGCACCGCCTTCCATCACCTCCGGAATATCGCCAGACTACGGCACTACCTCACCCCTCACGCTGCTGAAACTCTGGTCCACGCCTTTATCACCTCAAGGCTGGACTATGGGAACTCTCTCCTCGCCGGCCTTCCCGCACCTCCCTCCACAAGCTGCAGGTCATTCAGAACTCTGCAGCTCGTGTACTGTCCCGCACCAGGCTTCGCGACCACATCACTCCCACCCTCGCTCGCCTCCACTGGCTCCCCATCCCCCAGAGGATCGATTTCAAGATCCTCATCCTCACCTACAAGGCCATTCACGGCCTTGCTCCCTCCTACCTCTCCGACCTACTATCCCCCTACCTACCTGCCCGTACCCTCCGTTCCTCTGGCTCCGGTCTGCTCCACATCCCCCGCCCCAACCGCCCTACCATCGGTGGCCGGGCTTTCAGCCTCTCAGCCCCAGGCTCTGGAACTCCATCCCCCAGTGCCTTCGCCGCCTCCTCCCTTTCCTCCTTCAAGGCCGGTCTCAAGACCTTTCTCTTCAACCGTGCCTTCAGCTCCCCTCTCGACTCTCTACCCCTTCCTCGCTCCCTCCCTTCCCACCCCTCACCCTGACCATTTCCCCATGCTCGGGTCCCGACCCAAATGTCCAGTGCCTTGGGATATCCTCCTGACCTGAAAGGCGCTCTATAAATGCAATCTTGTTGTTGTTGTTGTCTGTGCATATGTGAACAAATAATGACTACAGCAACTCAATCTCCTCCAGAGTCTAAGTTTCCAGCACACCTGGAGGTCATTCAGTGACAGAGTCTGTGCTATTGTCAGTTCCTACTTTAATCCATTTGTGAGACACAACCTTTTTTCAGTAAAATTAGAATTTCCCTATGCACTGTAGCTTTAAGAAGAATCAACTGAGAAACAGCAGTCACTTTTCTCAACCACTCATATAATGAATTCAACATTTCCTCTGCCTTACCAAGAAACTAGCGTTAAAAAGGTTGCAGAAATGTTTCTAAAAGTAGTTGAGAACATCATGAGGAAGAGAAAGTTCTCAAGCAAACGACAGTGGAAGCTAAAAGGGGCAATTTTCTAAATCTTTGTGTGAATACCACACTTTCACTTTAAAACTGGGTCAACACCATTAGATAGTTATTTTAGTGGGGCCTGCATGCTGCTTTGAAAGATGATTTTATACATTGCTCAGCATACATATGGGGTATAATTTTTTGTAACTATATTTAATGCAAATTATCAAGTGAGTGATGTCAGGAATCGCATATAATGCAAAGCAATTTTATTTCTAAACAACTCCAGCATACAATGAGACTGAGCCAAGTACTGATAATGATGCTTTTCAGCAAACCTTGTCAGCTAACACAGGCCTCCTGCGTGTCCCCAAGTCACTCTGGGATCCCCAAACTTTGGTTCTTCTCAACCTGCACCTAGCATTTTCTGGAAATAATTAAGCAGAACGCGTCCCTCAGAGGAGAGATTGAATGTCTTCATTCCAGACAAATAGAAATTTC